TTCATTATGTATAAAAATTATATAATTATAATAATTCTATGTATAATGAAAAAACATATACTACGCGAACATATTCTATTAACATAAGTGTCAAAATAATTCATAAACTCTTCATCATTATGATACTTCATATATATANNATACATATAATATAATTAATAAATATTATAGACTTAAAATAAAGTAGATATAACATTTTTGGTTCATGTCTTATATTAGGTTGTCATGAATGAGTGTTGTGAGGTTAGTGCTCCTTTATAAGTTTACTGTTTCAATTTTTCTTACAGTTGCACATTCTTAATCTTTAAGGAAATATATTATATAATTTAAAGCAGTTATACTTATATATTATTTATTTTGTCTGCTAAACATATGTAATTTGTTATGTGTAAATTTATTATATTATATAGAACTAATGTAATGATATTATTTAATATGTATTGTAATTATTTCTTAAAAATATATATTTCTTTAATAATGTATTTATTAATATTATGCTATATGTTAAGTTTAATTCCCAAAATAATGTTCCTTATAAAACGTAGTATAATAATTTTTGCTACCAAGTTTTGATGTTAATATTCTTACATTTTACATTAAATATAAGGGATTAATAAATTTTATACGCATTTAAAGCGCTATACCTGCAAATTTTTGATAATATGATTTTTAAAATATTACTTATATATATTAGCATTTTTTTTATATAACGATTATTAATTTTTCACATTTTATTTATCTATTATCTATTTTTAATATAGTAAATAAAACTTGTATACACTATTTGTATATAAATGATACGAAAAAAATTAAATAATATATTGATTTATGTATATCGAACTTCCATATTTCTTTTGTAACATATTTATAGGATTTCATAACGAAATAAAGAAAATTGCATATTTGTGCCTTTTTATGAATTAACACAAATATTTATTAAATATATATTAACCATGGATGATAAACTACGCATTTAGGCAATTTATGGTAATTTTCATCATTGTAATATTTTATAAAGACATGTTTATTAGAATAGCATATTTATTCATGATGTAGTTAATGTTAATTTAATTATTTTAAAACATATATATATACATCGTTAAATAAAGGATTATTTATGCTATATATTACACATATATTAATTTATATAGTGATTTAATGTAAAGCATAATTTCGTGAAGAAATATTATTTCTTAAGTTAAATTATATTGACGTAATATGAGTTAGCTAATAATAATAAATGAATATAGTAAAATTTTATGAATAAATATCTTCTACGAATATAATAGTAACGTATCTACTTCTTATGATATGAATATATATATATAACTGTTAATTATTAAAAATTACTATTTTTATATATATTATAGAAAATATTTTCATTTATATTCCACAGTATATTTTGTATATATAATATTATACCAGTATTTTATAACAATAAATTATGAAGATCCTCAAATAATTGTATTATACCACCTTTATTCTATATGTTGGATACGGTGATATTACATTTCAATGAAACTATAAATTAATTAGTAATATTTATATTGCTATATTCCGTAATAAAACATGAATATTTTAAAAAATATACTCTTCTATATAGATCATACACATTATAGTGTATATTTTATAATTAAATTTTTGCGCCTAATATTCAATAATATGTAATAAAATACGTGAATACTACATAAATGAGTTTTATCATATCTTATTGTTATTCATTGTATAAAATTAAGAGTGATGTTTTATTATAAATATATATATATAAACAAAGAAATAACATTAAAATAACAAATTTATTAGCGAATTAAATGTATGATGATACTTATTATACAAAAAGTTTTATTATAATAAAAACAATATATTAGTGTGAATACTTTTTATATATTCAATTTTTCTTTTATTTCTTTGTAAATAAAGTGTTATTTTCGACACCCAATTCTACCATTCGTTTTTGAACAAATATGGAATATTATAAAATAACAGATCGTTTGATTCTATAAATAATAAGAAGAAAATATCGTTTAATGTACTGAATAATTTATTATATTAAATATATATTTTATGAATATTTAGAATATATACATATAATTACACATAATAATTTATTTATTGTATTTCTATTTTATGTGTGTAGCATTAATTTCATATATAATGCTATAAACATAAGTAAATATATAATTATATATATTTCTTATACATATTAAAAAATTAAAAATATTTAAACGGTATGAATCAGAAATGATTGTAATTGCTTAATGTATGCTGCAATTACATATATAATAGTTTTAAATTTTAATAGCATACAATAGTTCATTATAACATTACTACATTTTTATAGGAACAATATGAACAATATTTAATTATAAGAATATTTCCTTTATTTTCAATGCCCTTTCATGTATTATTTACAGTATTAAAAATAAGTATATTATGTGTTCAGTAAGGATTTGCATAAGCTTCCATGGTTTAGGCATAAATGGAATAAAATCTATAAAATCAAAGTAATCAACAAGTTTCAATGAGTTATGTTAATGTAAGAACTAATATTTTTAAAAATAGATCTTGTAAAAAAAAACACATTTACTTTTAATTATTTAATTCTCTTCATGGGCAAAAGATAAAGTTATAGACAATTATATTAAATTATTTCAATATGATTTATTTAAATAACCTAAATTATACATATACAATAAATATTCTGTTGCATGAGGTAACATAAGGGGAATCAAAATTCTTATTGTTTCTTGCTTAAGCGGTTACATACATATATGCAATAGGCAAATGATAAATCATTATACACTTTTTATACATATTATGCATAAATTATCTAAAAATAATATAATAAATCAAAAGCTGAGAAGAAACAAAAAAACTGTTCAAGAAAATATGATTTTATATTTACTTCTTATATACTTATTGTGAAAAATAACTATATTATTTAAAGGTTTTTGTGTATATTACTATAATAATAGGTTTATATAAAATATTGATCGTCATAAAAATATTGTGAGACACGAAAATTTATATAAATAAAAATTATATATATTCGTGGGATAATATAAGAGACAAATGTTCTAATGTATAATTTAAAAATATTATAAAATTAATGTATTTTTTATATAATTTTTTTTATACATCCAATAGAAATTCTTTAAATTTATATTTGTCATATTATTATTTAAAATATTAATAGAATCATAAATACATTAATCTAAAATTATATTTTTTAATAAAGAATATGATAATTCCTATAATTATATATATAATGTTGTAAATGTAAAAGATTGTTCCTGTATGTAGAGCAATATGATATATTCTGTAACCCTAATAGTTTATACATAAGGAAAACTATTTTATTAGTTAAATAGTAAATGCATAAATATAAATTTACATTGATATATACTGAATATAATATGCGTTGAAATTTATAATGAAACAGTTACTCTATGTATATGAATATAAGTGTTATAGGTACCATTAATAATATACTGTTTAAAACTGTTATATATATATAGAGGAATGAATATATATTATAATATAAATAAACAAATATTGAGAATATTCATATTTTTGTTTTACGTTAAATAATATAAAAAAATACATTTGATAATATATACTTTTTATTTGTAGATACAATGATGTAAATTCTATTTTATATACCAGTATTATATTTATTGTGTCATAAAGGAAATAATGCATATTTATTTTCTGTTGCTCTTCTTTTAAATATTTTTCCATTTCCATTATTAATATATTTAATGTATTTTTTTCTGATATACTTATGTTAATATATGTGTATTTTTTTTTTTTTTTATTTACTATTATTGAACGAAACCTATAATGCATTGTCAGTAGAAGTTTTTATTTTTCTAAATTTTCTTAATCCATGATGTAAGATAAATTACTTAAAATATAATTATACATAATAACAATCTTTATAATTTATTAAAATACAAATATCGTATTGGACGCTATATTATCATTTACTTATATAAATCAATAATTATATTTTTTTTTAATATACAATTTTATGTTTATGTAGAGAAAATTTTTTTTTATTATTTTTCACATATCTTATTTAATGAATATTAATAATATATATTTTTTCATCATCTGTATTTATAACTATATAATATAAACAAATTATTGTATATTCATATATTATTATATTGCTGCCTTTCTTGATAAATTAAACAAATATTCACATTTATGTTAATGTAATTCCTTGTAGATACATTATTTAATACGTAATATTACAAAATGATTAGTAATGTTTTGATATATATATATATAATAATATATACTTCTAATGATTCGTTTAAGTAATCATTTAAATCAATAATAAAATGTATATAATACTATTTTATTTAATATAAACTTGTTTTTTTCATTAAATAATATTTTATATTTAGTAGGATTATTATAATTAGGTAAAAGTTATTTAATACTGATTTTGAATTATTTTTTTATATTTCTCTACATAAAAATTCAATATTATTATGTTATTTTCTTTTTTTTTATATAACATACATCTTATATTTTTTGTCCATCGTTTTATAAATGAAGTATTTAGTGCACACTGAAAATAAATATAAAATGTGATATTTTATAAATATATGTTTAATATTATATAATTGATAAATATTAATATGTAGTATAAATAAATTTTATAATATATATTATCTGAATTAAGTACATATATAACTTTATATAGAATAAACATTATTGTTAATATTTCTGAAGAGGAAATAACTCTTATCCTTTTGTCTTTTTATAGGTCTCATTCCTTTAATTGTTTTGTTTGTATAGATGTGTTAAAATCATCTAGGTCTTCCTACGAAAAAAGGTTAATCAGGTATGTATTATTTTTACAGTTCTCATTAAACGAAAGGTTTTATTAAAATGATTTATTACATCTCTTAGTACATTAGTTATACAATTGTTCTCAGTTTCATGTTCTTGTAAATTAGTCCTATTATTATTAAGTATACCAATATGCTCATTGAATAAGATAATATATTTTTTTCAAACATTTAAATATTTCAAATGTTTTCTTTTGAAACCTTTTAACATGATGTCTAC